GGATTCTGCAGCGCGAACTGCAAAATGTGCAGGTGAACCAGAAAGTGGACATGTTCGAGGCGCAAATCCAGGCCCAGAGCTCTGCCGTCCAAGCCCCCCGAAGCCCGCGTCTGGGCAGGGCTCGTTCGCCCTCCCCGTGTCCCTTCCGAAGCAGCAGCCAGCCCCCTGGAAGGGTCTTGGCGCAGTGCTCCCCAAGTGAGGAACGGAGGACAAAGTCCTGGGGAGATCAATGTACAGAGACCCCAGACCCCAACTCTGGGAGGAGAAGCAGGCTCAGCCCACACCCCTGGAAGGACAAGGAGGGAGTGGCCCCTCTTTTACGCCCTGCCAGCCCGACCAGGTTAGGGACTCAGAGTCCATCTGCTTCAGTGAGGATGGAGGGAGGCACCCGGGCCAATCCCCGCTGTGGCTCACCCACAGCCATGGAAATTGACAAGAGGGTTGCTCCCTCACCGGAGCACTTTGGAACTAGTTTAGCATTGACCACTAAAGTGGCAGCTTCAGCCTCATCCGTTGGACCACACCCTGGACATGATTCTGCCCTCATGGAGGCAGCCTGCGAGCTCCGGGGCGTGCGCCCCTGGGAGGCGCAGATGGAGAGACAGGGGCAGTTTCTGGACAGGGAGACAGGCTCAGCCTCCGAGCCTGGCCGGACCCACATTAGAGAGCCTCCTGGGAGAGTGGGGAGAGGAATTCACCCTGTTGGTGGGCAAGGTTCCTGGACACCTGAAGTCATCAAAAGGCCAGAAGAGAGGACTGTGAATGCCCAAAGCTCAGAGGCTTCGGACGACCCGAGATGGTCTAGACTGCCAGGAGACCTAGGCTCCGTAGGTCCTGAGGAGGCAGGAAGTAGGATCGCAGGGATCCCAGCACCCGAGCAGACCCTGAACATTGTGGGAGAAGGGTCTCCAGCACTGGGCTTGCTTGGGGGCAGCCAGGCAGCACAGCCAGGGACCAGGGATGTCGGGGCAGAAACTCTTTGTGTCACAATGCTGGGACCTTTACCACCTGGGGAAGTGGCAACAGATTTGAAAGAACCCCGGTGCCTCCCTGGGGACAGGATGGGTGTGCAGCCTGAGAGTTCCAGGGTTTGGCAAAGTGCTGTGGAGGAAGGTCCCTTGATCTGGACGTGTGACACAGGGGTACAGCTGATGGAAACTTGGGGAAGCCAGCTGCATGACAGAGATGCTCATCGAAGCTGCCAAGAGATGCCCCCAGATCAGAAGGACGAGGCCTCCTTCAAAGAGGCCTGCAGCCCCAGCAGCGTCCCTGCCATCCCAGCTGTCATCATCACAGACATGGGTGCTCAGGAGGATGGGGGCTTAGATGAAATCCAAGGAAGCCCTCGGGGTCCCCTGCCTCTGAGGAAGCTTTCATCCTCCTCGGCCTCCTCCACTGGCTTCTCCTCTTCCTATGAGGACTCAGAGGAGGACATCTCCAGTGACCCTGAGCGCACGCTGGACCCCAACTCAGCCTTTTTGCATACTCTCGACCAGCAGAAGCCCAGAGTGGTGAGTGTTGCTGTGCATTTCTTAGAATTCATGTTTTCAGCAGGCCTTTCTGAGTACTCGCCTGGTTTCCTTACTTTCTGCTGAACAGTAAGGACTCCGAGCAGGGCTCTGGTGGAATCACAACCAATATTTTTCTACAGGCAGGTTTGCTGCGGGTCGCAGAGGTACCACCCAAGCACTTTGTAGGCTGGACAGTTGAATTGGAGTCATCCCTACCGTTCACATCTTTTTAAAAATGGGTTTGAAAGTACATAATATTCATGAATGTCAACAATAACAAGCCCTCCTGATTTCCAAAGATAGTGAAGAGCTGTCGAATGCAGCGTTCGCTTGATGAAGCGAAACACTTAATGTCGTGATTCACTCAGGCTGACGACGAGTTCTGTTGGCTCCACTCAAGTCTCTACTCCCAGGCAGAAATGTGAGTGAGGTGATTCTGTGACAGGACCCTGACCTCTGGAGATGTGGTTGTGTGGTTGACCCATGGCATGAGCAACGACTAAGCCTCGCTCAGTAAGTTAGGCAGGACTTGGCGATATCAATGTAGTCCACGTAACTAGTGTGTAGTATGACGTGTGGATTGAAATGTAAACTATCTTTTGAGCCAAGCATTTTCTTTTGTAGCAGGATGCTATTTGGATTGCGTTGTCTGAGTTGGGCACACTGTGTCACTACCAGGTGTAAGTTGCGATGGGCCCATTCCGGGCACATTTGCACTTGTGTGTTTGGGTTCGTTACACTGACTCTTGGTCTGTCTGTGGCAGTGACGGATGTTCATTCCTACTATTCGGTTAATTCCAGCTTGAGGTCAGCTTCTTTTAGGAGATGTAAGTGTTGAAGCTACCTCTTCTAAAATGGGATGGCCTTTCTCTTGCCTCTCCAGGGAGGATGGGGGAATTTCCTAACCTGGCATGCAAGAGTTGTAGGCTACCATGTGGGGAAAGCTGCATGGTATTTTAGTGGGTAGCCTCTGGTTTCATCTTGAATGTGAGATTCCACCCATTTGCACACCAATAACTTTCTCCATCCTTAGTGGGTGCGTTACAGTTCGGCTCAGCACACTTTACTAAAAAATTTTGAATTCTAAAACACGATTCTTTTTCAGCTTCTACTTCAGAAATCACGGTCTAGTTTTGAAGATCAGGAATTGCTTTCCCTGAAACCTGTCTGCTGGTGATCTAGAGGCAAATTTGTATGCAAAGTTGAGTCCTGATCAGCCTGGCATTTTGTGGCTGGGACAGGGATCCCAGACATCTTGCACCTGCTCCCAGGCACCAGCATACCCCCTTAGAGAAGGGGTGGGCAGCAGTCTGCCTGGAGCAGGTAGTGGCCACAAGCCAGATGGAAAATGCTTCTCTTGGAAGGCATTCCCCTGTCCTCTGCTCAGCAGTTAAGGCCTAGTAAGAGAGGGTCTTCTGCCCACCCCACCCCCTTTTGTTTCAAAACCCTGAAGCACGGAAACAGCATTGACTTGTTATCCATCTTCCATTTGCTCACTGTTGTGCTGTTGTGGTGGCTGAGCAGCTCTTACCTACTGCTTACCAAAAAGCTCCATACATCCATGTTTGAAAAGGAAATCTTGTCTGGGAAGGAGTGAAAGGGGATATAAATAATAACAGGTAAACAGCAACAGCTTCTCTTTTTTTCTCCTTCATTTGTCAGAGTAAAAACAGATGTGCAAGCAGGGAGCTAACTGGTGTTTTCAGGTTAGGTAAGAGGCCCAGAGGTAGAAGTGAGCTGTTGTCCCATCTACCTGCCTCTCATCTTTGAACAGGTTTTCTTAAACACCTGGAGGGGAGTCAGGGAAAAAGAAATTCCCTGCTGTCGTTGCTCTCTGGAGAGAGAGAGAGAGAGAGAGAGAGAGAGAGAGAGAGAGAGAGAGAGACTGACTATGAATGTGTGTTGGGGTCAGAGGCGTGTGGGTAACCAACTGGAAATTATGGGATCCTAGGGACTTTTGCTCTCTGGTTGAGAGCCTGCACTATGAGCAGAGGGGAACTCTTAGACTCACTGTGATGCTAGAGCTTATCTGGAACACCAAACCATCTGCTCATTGGGTCAAGACTGCTATTTTGTCTGCAGGAGGCCAGACATCTTGATTGACCTGGGAGGCCTGTGGGCCGTCCTTTTGATGTTTGGCAAATGAAGCTAGCCCTGCCCCTGCTTCTCTGACTCGCTTCTGTGTGTACAGCACTACTACAAATGCATCTGAGCACGCTCAAGCGTGCCCGCTTTCTCTCACACATGCTCACTTGTGCTCATCCTCACCTTCACATTGCTCACACACACTAACACACACCCACACAAGTTCACACTCACACCCATACACTCATACATGTAGGTTTGAAATGGCATGCTCACACAACCAACCCTGGCTCCCAGACCCATAGAAGACCCTAGGGATTTTTACCACGGCCTCTCTTTCCCACATGTCCTCTGTTGCACACGGACTCGTGTTGTAATTGGATGTGCAGGCAGGGTGTGATAGCATGTCTGCATCTTAAGGATCCCACACTTGGGGTTTGCTTGGAAGTAACTCAGAAGCATCTTATCTTAGAAAATAGATTGGATCGATTCGTTCCAAAATTCTACTGTCAATAATGTGTACAAACAAAAGCGAAACAAGGTGCCGGCAAGATGGCTCAGCAGGTAAGGGTGCTTACTAATAGGCTGACAACCAGAATTTGATGCCCAGAACCTACATGGTAGAAGGAGAGAATTGTCTTCTGTAAGTTGTCCATGGTGCGAGCAGGCAGGCAAATGCATGCACACACAACACACAACATGCAAAAATTCATAAATCAAACTGTAAAAAAAGCATTAAAAAGTCCCAAACTATGGCCTAGTACCTGTAGGCTATAGAAGGAACTAAAATGCCTTTGCCTTTTTTATGTTTGCTACTTTTAAGGGCCATTGGAATTTCGTTTCTTTGGTCTTTTTTGGGGTGGGGAGGTATTGAGTATTTTTGCTTGTTTTTAGTGAATAAAGAACTTGTACACGTAGCAACTTTTAATCTATTTGAGATGGTTGTGTGTGATTTTAAGAAGTGTGTAACAATTTTATGTTTGATTATCTAGTGGTGAGCACTTTTGAGTGGAAACTTTAAAAAGAGGTTTATTTTCTTTTTATGTGTGTATGTGTGTGTAAACACAAGTTGTGGAAGTGCTTCTACAGGTCAGAGGAATGTGTAGGGCCCCTAGAGCTGGGGTTACAGGCAGTGTGAGTTGCCTGGTGTGGGTGTTGAGAATGGAGCTCCAGTCCTACAAGAGCAGCAAGTGTTCATAACTGCTGAGACATTCTCTCTTAGCCCCCTGGAAACTTAGATGAGGGTGTCAAAGGCCCAGGTTATGGGGATATGAGTTCAGGTGGCACGCTCTGTTTTCTGAAGATAGGTGGCCCTTCTCTCTCTCAGGGACCAGGGCGTCTAGATCTAGGGTTCCTGGAATCATTTATCTGAGATTCTGGGTGTTACTCTGATAACAAAACAAAGACAAGATTTAAAAGCAAAAGGACCTGGGGCACACACTGAGGGGTCCTGGCTCTCTGGTAGCATTCTCTCTTTCTACACTGTGCATAATTCAAGGGTGACTCCAGGGAGGCTATGTCATTCCAACTTTCTGCAAATACTTAATTCTAGACATTCAGCTCCAAACTTGGTAGGTGTGAAGCATGCGTCAGGACATTTGGAAGTGTGACAAAGATCCTTTGGCATGGCCCTTGGCACTGAGGTCCAAATCAGGCACCTTTAAATGTATGCTTTCATTGGAGTCAGTTGACTGATCAGCCTGCCTGCCTTCCACCCATCCCTTTACCAAAAGATGGGCTCTTTGTAACTTCACATTCAAAAAACAACAGCAAAAAGAAACCTACAACAGAGCAAAGCATTAGTATTAGTGCCATAACTGAGGCTTTTCTTCTGGGAGGGGTTTCTTCTTGAGTCAGGGTTCCTCTGTGTAGACTTGCCTATCCTGGAACTGGCTCTGTAGACCATGCTGGCCTTGAACTCAAAGAGATCTGCTTGCCTCTGCTTCCCTCTGCTAGGATTAAAGATATGGGCCACCACCTACCTCCCAGAGATTTTCATTAATAATCACACAGATCTTAGCAACTGTGCTGAAAGGATGCCCATTGGATGCTTTCTGGCTACAGATAAAAAGAAACTTTGCCCCTCAGATGTGAAGTTTCAAAACCAAGGCTTTGCTGACAGAGTGCCAAGATGTCCCTTCAAAGCACTGTCTTATCAGAGACTGGAAGCATTCAGCTTAGCTTTTAAAACATCAGGGAGAAAGGTAGAGACTCAACACTACCTTTGCTGAGAACATTTAAGGTCTGAAAACATACACTTTGAGACATACCTTGCCTTTAGGCTTTAATAAGGAAGTAGCAAGCCTGTCAGCCTTTGATTGAAGAGAACTGGATTTCCAGGATGACATAAATCATCCTCAGAGCTCTGTTTGCAAGAGCTGAACTGCTACCAAGCCACTTTCCTGGCTTTGCCAGCACATGCTTGCTGAATGTAGTTACAGATTAGATTCATTTTATATAGTTTATTTAAATTCCTAGGAGTATTGATAACATTGTTTAGGCTTGTTTTATTCTGTCTGGTTCCAGCTTAGTCACCTAAAGGTAGATTTATTTTTATTTTTGTTTTTTTAAGATTTAATGGAAAGAATTTTTATCTAGTAGAAAAACCTCTGTAGATTTCAGAAAAATCAATAGGCGATTCAAAATTAACTCAGGAATTCTTTTAAATTACCTTGTGGTGTGTTCCCGTAATCTCAGCACACCCCCACCAGGCTGATACATAAGAATTTCCAGTATGAAGCCAGCCTGGACTGTGTGTGTGTGTGTGTGTGTGTGTGTGTGTGTGTGTGTGTGTTGCCCCTATCTCAAAAACAAGCAAACACACTAATTGCACTGTGGTCACGTTATCAGTGTGGAGGAATCTCTGTGTTTGTATAGGGGAGGACAGCTTGGCATTGAAGCTATGTACACTGTGC